CCTAACATAGTGAATTGTATCAATGTATATTTTGTCTTATTGCAATAAGTATTATATGAATTTTAAACCAAATATATTATTTTTTATATAATTCAAATCTCTGATTGAAGGATTAATTTAAAAAAAATTAAAACACCTGATTTTTTTTAATGTATTTTATAAAACAATTTGAGCCTCTCAATTTGAAGTCATGGATCACAGTGACTGCTTCCAGATTTTGCCAAAAGAAAACTTACTGAAGAAGTGGGGACTGAAAAACCCCAAGCCAAAATCCTTCTGAAAAAAAAAAGAAGGGAATGGAGGCATCACTCTCCCAGATTTCAGACTATACCACAAACCCGTAATAATCAAAACTGCATGGTATTAGAACCAGAACAGACACATGGACCAATGGAACCAAATAGAAAACCCATAAATAAACCCACAGATTTATGGTCAACTAATCTTTGACAAAGGAGCAAAGAATATGCACTAGAGCACAGAAAGTTTTTTCAATAAATGGTGCTGGGAAAACTGGGTCGCTACATGCAAAAGAATGAAACTTGACTACTACCTCACACCATGCACAAAACCAACTCAAAATGGATTAAAAAACTAGACATAAGACCTGAAACCATAAAATATATAGAAGGAAAAATAGGCGAAACACTACATGACATGCACCTCAAAGACATCTTTACAGACACATCACCCAAAGCAGTGATAAAGGACTGATTACAAAAATCTACAAAGAGCTGATGAGACTCAACATAAACAAAGAAAATAATTCAGTTAAAAAATGGGCAGAAGAGCTAAAAAGAAACTACTCCAAAGAGGAAAGAGGAAATACAAATGCGCAACAGGCATATGAAAAAATGTTCAACGTCACTTGCAATCAGGGAAATGCAAATCAAAACTACCATGAGATACCATTTCACCAGTGAGAATGGCACATATTAAAAAAACTAGCAACAGCAAATGCTGGCGAGGTTGTGGAGAAAAAGGAACTCTCCTGCACTGCTGGTGGGAGTGAAAATGGTCCAACCACTTTGGAAAGCTGTGTGGAGATTCCTCAACCTACTAAAGATAGAGCTTCCATATGATCCAGCAATTCCACTCCTAGGTATTTACCCAAAGGACACAGAAACATTAATTCCAAAAGCACCTGCATCCCTATGTTTATAGGAGCACTATTTACAATAGCTAAGCTTTGGAAACAACCCAAATGCCCAAAAATATACAACTAGATCAAGAAGATGTGGTACATATACACAATGGAATATTATTCAGCAATCAAAAAAGATAAACGCATGCAATTTGCAGCAACATGGATGGAGCTGGAAATGATCATGCTCAGCGAAATAAGCCAGAAAGAAAAAGAAAAATACCGGATGATCTCACTCATAGCAGGAATTTAGAAAACCTAAATAAGAGATCAGGAAAAAGAATAACTATATGAAAGAAAAAATCAAAATTAACAAACAACTATGAACCAGAGACACACTAAGCCGGGGGGGGGTGAGGGGGAAGGTGGGCTTGGGGTCAAAATAAGGGGGTTGCAATTGTATGGGGAATATAAAAATAAAATTAAAAAAAAAAGAAGTGGGGACTACACCTGAGAGGAGAAAGCAAGCACCCTACAAAAAGGAAGAATGATGTAATATACACTACTACTACTACTACCACTAATAATAATAATAATAATAATAAAATTATAAAAAAGAAGTAATTCCATCTACATTGATAGAAATAAAGCAAAAGTATCATTAAAAATAAAATGATGTGGGGACTAGACTTGGCACTATTTTTTTTCCTTTTCGATGTTCTTGCTCCTACTACAGAAAGCTTTTGCTCATTTTACCCTCATCAACTGAGAAAGAACACTTTTCCTAAATGCCATGTGTCATATATTATAAAGCTCTTATGATAATGTCACTAATATTTCTTTGTAAACTTGGGTTGGTAATGTTATTTTGATCCTAATTGTATGTTATAGGAACGAAGATAAGCTGCAAATTAAAGTTTCACGTTTTCACCAAACAATGTGCTCTCGTGTGGAGTAAAGAAAACTTCATTTCTTTCTTAAGGTATGAGGACAATATGCATCAAACTGAAATAATTTATTTTTCAATAAGATGAGAATTAGGAGTAATAATATTATGTATATGATGATAGATGCATTTACAAAATACCATCATTCAAAATATTTAAGTGTGTTATATGAATTATTCTTTTTGGGGATTTATGCTTTTTTGTTCAAAAGTCTATTTTGTTTCCAAAGCTAAAATTGTATATTCATTAACAATTCACAGTATAAAAGAGGTTAGCAGTAAAATCAATAATTCCTCTTCTGTTTATTCTTTGCTACTTCTCTAAGGAGCTGCTGATACTATTTCTACTTTCTATATGTTTATTGCTTTTTATGTAAAAAGAGGTGTTATTATTTTCCAGCCCAGGACGACTCTTGGAAGTCCTTTGTCTCAGGAATTCAATGTTCAGAAATCTTTTCCACCTCATCATAAGTTTTCTATCAAATAATTTAATTAGTTTATTAATGTTATTATTGTTCTGTCTTCCTATATCAGCTGTTGCCACTTTCAAAGCCCTGAAGGGAAGGGAACACTGGGGAGGCAAGTTTTGAAGGAAGGTTTGAAGGTTAACATGAGTGAGACACTGAATATGGCTCAAGACAGCTGAGGCTGTGCTAGAGCACATGCGTGTGTGTGTGTGTGTGTGTGTGCGTGGAACAATAGCAGGAGGTCATTGTGCTTCTAATTTTTTATCCTTGACTTCCCTAGCTGAGTTACAGAGGCAGGGATCACAGTGTAGAATAAGACATGGAAATGGCAACCACTCTGTGCTAAGAAAATGAAAATTCACAAAATATACAAATGTGGAGAAAAGACTTGATTTAAAATTAACTGCATGAGTTCATGGAGATACACTACCAAGTTTCAAATGTAAGTCTTCTTGACAATTTTCTTAGTTTTTTCATGCCTTTGGTTTTTCACCAAATAAGAGTTTATTTAAATATCTTTCTTATTAAGTCAGTTTCAGAAATAAATCTAAACTATGCTAAGTGCTTTAATCAGTGTGTAGTACCATGTAAGTAATGACTGTTTTTATTTATTTAATTTATATTTATTTATTTATTTATCTATTTATTTATTTATTTTTATTTATGCATACAAGAACTGGGGAAAGGCCAGAGGTATGGAGGGTGAGATGATTCACCAGAGACAGAGTGGGGAGCAGAAAGGCAGACTGACTGCAATATGCTGAAGAGGAGAGCAGCGGGCAAGACAGGAGAGGTCTACTGTGCCATGTTGGTAGCTCCCTGGCTGGCAGTGGATGTAACTTTTTCAGCAGAGGATGCAGATAGTTTCACAGTGCTGTTCCTAACCCCTTGTGCCACCAGGGAGGCCCCCAAATATTTTTTTAAAAATTATTTTGATCTTTAGTCATTAAAAACAAACAAAACTGATGCTGACCTTTTACCATAAACAAAGGGAGACGTTGGCAGTTACAGTGACAACTTCCTGTATTGTGGTGCCAGAACATTCAGAAGCTCATGATTTTGCTGCTTCTGTTTCAGACTGTCCATCAATTCTCACCAGTACATAGTCATATAAGTACATTGTTTGAATGCACAATTTCTCTTTTTCTTTTACATTTTTCCTTCACAAACTCAAGGTGCTCAGCCTCCAGCTCAGTCCATGACGTGACCGGATCTTCTGAAACAAGCACATTCGAGTCTTCCCTGCATGGACTGGGGCATCTCTCCTCATGGCAGGTATGTACAATCCAAACGGAACAGTTAAAAAAATAAAAACAACCAGAAGGTGTATGTCATGGATTTGCTAACCTCAGGTCTAGAAAAATAGGTTTTTTTTATGTTTTTCATATATCAGTATTTTCCATTTAATTTTATTTTCATGATTCCTCATTCTGCCATATAAATTGTTTTGTGAAAGTTTTTCCAACAGTTTAAAAGATTGTCTTCTGGCAGGGATAGCACTAAATGCTTATGGGACTGATTTACCAGGTCAAAATATGAACAACACAGTTTGAGATTAAAAAAAATATAGGGGAGACAAAATATCTGTGATGATGCTTACAAGTTTATATAAGTTGACCATTTGTGTTTGACATCCAAGGTCATCCTGATTAATGGTTTGACACAGTAGACTGTTATTAACACTGTTCTTAGATATCGTGCTGAATCTTCTAATGATCAATTGCTTGAGGGGAAATTCCTGTAGGAAAGTAACTCTGGGAATGAGAAAATGTCTTGTTCAAAATGGTTGCTTTTAAATCATCTTTCAAAATATGTGAAATAAATGCCGGTCGACTGAGTGTGTCACATAATTGTTTTGGGAACATCTGATCATTCCCGGTCCAGAGAGTCCTGTCTTTTCTTCCCCACAGGACCTCCCAGAGTTATGAGCAGCCTGACAGCACTTCATCAGGGAATGCATTGAGAATAGGAGAAGTGCACAGTCCCCAGATATATGACTTACACAATGATAGGTACATTACATGAAAAACTCAGGGAGACAAATTTATTTCATTTCTGAGTTGTTACTAGTGTTGATATCTTGAATGACATTATTAATGAATTCTAGTTTTCTCAACTGCCTAATAAGAATCATATAACTTGTGACTTTTGTTGAGAAAACAAAAGTAAATGTTGGCTGTGAAGATCAAAACATAACTCTGTATCTGATCACTTCTACTCTATAGTGTCTCATTTTCTATGCCAACAAATAAATAATTGGTAAATCATATGAATGACATCTATTTGGCAAAAAGAAAAAGTGTGTATAATCTCACAGAAGAACAGATTTTTGTTTTCAGTTTTCATATTTCTAGTGCTTCACTGGGAAGATGATGGGGTTTCCAAACCAAAAACCCTTTTTATCGATTCTCTTGTGCTAGTTCTGCCTTTGAGAACTTTGGCTCCTATGTCTTCCTTGAAGTCATTACCCTACCTGTCTTTCTTTATAGGTTTTTGCACCACTCCCTGGAGGTGGATTTCTGGGATCTTAGGAGTAATGTGCCTTTTGTTGATGGCTATTTTGGGAATTGTGTTGAAAAACTGTAAGTTTTTCTGGTCTGGTTTATATAAAGTTTAGAGCACTGATGATATCATTTAATAAAATTTCCATTTACTAATGTGGAGTATTTTATTGTTTCACAAACTTGTATCTAATTGTTAATTTCTTATCATTTCTGATAACATTTCATAAGCCAGATATTCAACCCACACTGTCTCCAGGAAACTACATCAAATCCCAGGAAGGTAGGTTCCATATTTTTTAAACACTGGGTGTTGATAGTGGATGAAATATGCAGTTTCCTTTTTTTCTCACACAGAATTATGATGGAATATTGCGATCTTGTTATGCAAGTTGATATACTAATTGCAGGATAGTCTCATTTCATTGTCTTTCATTGTAAGAATTATTAAATTACTTTGAATATACATCATATGTATATTTAAATAAGGAAAATATTAACTTGAAATAACCTAGTTTTTTCTACATGAGCATAGATAGATGTTCAAAGAATTTCTTTGTTTTTTTAGCAACAATTTATTTAGGTATTTCTAGGGGCAGAGGTGGGCAATGAGGGTCCACCTTAAATATGGTATTGCAATTATGTACTTTTAGAATCTGTAAAATATTTCTAATTGTGTCAGATCATATGATTTTCATATATTTGTAGTGTTTAAAATTCATGAATTTGTGCACCTACACTTGACATTATGAAGCATCAAGATAAATATTATAATGGATGTTCGACATTGAATTAAGTTTTTAGAAAATTTTAGGAAAAAAACAATACTTTTTATAGAAGTAAAGGGTATTAAAAAAATCAGAATCTCCAATATCAATAGTTATGCTTTATGCTTTATTTTTTTTTCTTAGACTCTGACTGCTGTTCTTGCCAGGAAAGATGGATCGGGTACAGCTGCAACTGTTACTTCATTTCCAGTGAAAAAAAAACTTGGCAAGAAAGTAGGGATTTCTGTATTTCTAAGAACTCCACACTTCTTCAGAGACACCACAGAGATGAATTGGCATGTATTTAATTCTGGTTTCCTACGTATTTTTTGACCTAGGAATATGTACTATTTAAGTAAGCTGAATTAGGTTCAGGTCTTTAATCAGATAATGAAGAATATTTTTTTAACTAATGACTTACTAATAGCCTTTAACTTAATCACTAAAAAAATCTATGAAATTTTATCAAGGAATTTCATAAATTTAGATTTTTATTGGGAAAAAAATCTCAAGAGAAATGTCATTTAAAGTACAGGAGACATTTTAGAGAGAATTCAAAGAGGATCTAATATATGAGTATTTTTCTAAAAAAATCTAAATAACTGAATCTTAATGCTTTCATTAATTTTATAATTTATTTTGTTATTCTCTATATTTTGTCATCATTTTGGGAAATACAATGAAAATGAAATGTATGATCATAAAAATTACCTAGTTCTTAAGAAAAAGTGAAATATTTCTCTAGCTGTATGAAGAATCTGTACTGAATATAGGTTGAGAAGATATTACTCACAAAATTTATTCCCTAAGACTCTTACGTTGAGTCAAACTTGGATCAGACTCCTGTGAACTAAAATTCTAACTCCCTTTATAATATAATATATAATACATAGTAATATATATGATAAAGTCTTCATTCTGTGAAGACCTGCGGTTTTTACATTATTTTCCCCCATAAGTAGATAGGCTTGATATTTGAGGAAAAATAGACTTGTGATCACCTCCTAACCCAAGCATTAAAAATGTTTTTAAGTGTGTATTATTGAAAGGCTGAATCTGGTGTTGGACACTAGCTTTTTAAAAGAATATTATTCCAGAGTAGATTTAAATTATGTTGTGTTTCTGTCTCTAAGCAGCATTTTATGACATTTGGTAAAAAATTTTACTGGATTGGAGTCACCTACAGTGAAGAACAACAAGCCTGGGTGTGGCTGAATGGCTCTGCTCTCTCTCAAGATCTGTACGTTTCTATCAGTCCAGAGTGTTTCTGTTCTTTATGAACTTATTCCTCTCTCTACAGACTGTAACTAAGATAGTTTTCCTAAAGCATGAGAATACGGACAAAATTGATTCAACAGAACAATAATTTTGGTGCATCTGGAAAACCCAAGTCAATTAATATGAAATTTGTGTACTTGTGACCATGAAAGAACTTGTGAGTTAAGGCTTTTTCGCCCTGATGTGTGTGGGGGGAGGCACAGACATTATATCCACAGGAACTATCCAGAGAAAACAGTGTCCATGATAGTTTTTTGCTGGAAGCCAGTAGCCTCAGTTTACACCTCCTTCTTTACACAATTTCTTTTTTTTTTTTTAAGATTTTTTAAAATATGCATACAAGAGTTGGGGCACAGGCCAGAGCATCAGGGCGGTGAGAGGATTCACCACAGACAGAGTGGGGAACAGAACAGGCAAACTGACTGAAATACACTGCTGAGGGGAGCAGTGGACATGTCAGGAGAGGTCTGCTGCACCATGTGTGTTGTTCGCTGGCTGGCCAGGAATCAAACTCATGCTGCAGTGGCTATGGATAGATTCATACGTTTCGTCTCAACCCTTGAGCAACCAGAGAGGCCCTTTTCAAAATTTCTAGACTAATTTTCTGTTTGTAGATTTTGAATCTTATTTTCATTGATAATCACAAGATTTTTCTGTATTATATAAATTGTATCAGCTACTTTATTTACCTAGACTAGTTTAGTCAAAACATATTTAAGCAAAATTGAAGCAGAGTATATCATATATCAAATCCATTAAAACAAATGAAAAAAAATTACTGAACTCTATGCTGTTGTTTACTGAGGCAATAGACTAATTTTGTAATATTGTTCTCTATAAATGTCAAAACTGTGGCTATTGCATAAAAAACATAGGGACTCTTTTATGAGTCAGTAATGAATCAATGAAATGCTTTGAAAAGTTCTATTATTTAATAAAAACCCATCAATGAACATTCTCATTTCCTTCTCCTATATGTTAATATTTAATATTTTATTTTTCATTACAGATTGTCATCCTATAAAACTGCAAGATCCACAAACTGCATAGTGTACAACCCAAACCTTGGTGTTCAGGATCAACCTTGCATGTGGACAAACTTATATATCTGTAAGCAAGAACTTATATAGGTGTTTCTTGGGGCAGAAGTGGACAATGAAGGACCATCTTAAGAATGGTATACCAATTGTGTACTTCTAGAATCTGTAAAATTTTTCTAATTGTGTCTGATATTATGTAGGATTTTGACATATTTGAAATGTATTAAAATTAATAAATATATGCTCCACTTGAAATTATAAAGCATCAAGATAAATATTGTAACAAATACTTTCATAAATGCATGTTCGGACCCGCCCCCCCCAACACCCTCCTCCCCACTCCGGTGGTGCAGAGGGTTGAGCACAGCGCTGTGAAGCTGTGAAGCTGTCTGCAGTCTCTACAGCGTGGGTTCGATTCCTGGCCAGCCAGGGAGATACCCACATGGCGCGGCAGACCTCTCCTGCCTTGCCCGCTATTCCCATCAGCAGTGCTTTCAGTCTTTCTGCCTGTTCTGCTCCCAGCTTTGTCTCTGATGAATTCTCTCACCCTCCCGTGCCTCTGCCCATACCGCAGCTCTTGTATAAATAAATAAATCTTTTAAAAAAATGCATGTTCAACACTGAATTGCATATACTTTAGGCATATAATTTTATACACTCTGTAGAAATTTAAATAAAACAAAGATTCACATCAAAAGATATTGTGGACATCACTTCAGTCTTTTGTATGGCATACTAAAGTTGGAAGAGATATTTTGTTTCATGTTTCTGTAGTTCTTTCTGGATATCTGTATATATATGTTTGAAACTGACAATTTTCTATTATGTGTCTTGGTGTACGACTTTCTGCATTTAGATTGCTAGGTATTCTATTGTCTTCATGAAATTGTGTAGTTAGTTCTTTCTTAGTTGTTAAGGGAACAGTAGGAGTAAACTGAGCCTGTGATTGCAATGCTAAATGCACTTCACCACTGACATCTTTACAGACTACACACCCATCTCCAGCCTCAGAGATCACAGACACTTAGGAATACAACTCCCAACATTCCTTGAGTCTGGCTTGCTGAACAGGGTCCCTAGGAACTATGGGGAGAGTTAAGCAGCCATATTTGCCTTAAAACCTAAACAAATGCATGCTGTCACTCTTTTGCTTTTCCAGATTTGACTTGCACCATAGTGGCTCACCTCAATTGATATTAGTGGTAGGAAATATCATCCAAGTGATCTCTCTCTCACCTTTTACCACTCCCCTTGTAAATAAAACATTTTAAAAACATTTTAAATTTTATCTGTGGTTTCTGCTTAGGGATCTTGTCCCATGTTCTAAAACATAAGGGTGAGGCCAAACCCCAGTCATCCCCATATCCCTTGGGGTTGTCCTCCTCTAACAACTTGGTGCCCAATAATAGGGACATCATACATCACACAGTAGGGCCGTTCCTAGTGTTGGTCACTGCAAGTTCATTGGGATTGTGTGACTTGCAGTGGAATTTTTCTGTCTTCAATTTGAAGATCTTGTTTGTACTTCAGTAAATTTCTCTCTGTTGATATAGATATGGATTCAATCATTAGTTTAAGCAATTCTTCATACTTTGCTTTGAATATTGATGTATGTAATCTTCTATGGTCAGACATTGCAGTGGGAGTTCATTTGATCCAGGCCAAGGAGCTGAACCACATGGTGCAGCAGACCTTTCCTGTCTTGCCTGCTGCTCCCCTCAGCAGTGTATTTTGGTAGATCTGCCTGCTCTGCTACCCGTCTGTCTCTGGTGAATCCTCTTACTCTGCGCCTCCCCCACCCCACCACCACCACTACCACCTCTGGCCATATGCCCGTTCTTGTCTGACATAAATCAATAAAGCTTAAAAAAAAAAAAAAAGATTCCTTTTCTTGCTTTATGCCAATGAGGCAACTCTTGAAAAAGGAAAGCTCCTGATATAATTGCAACTGACATCTGCATTTAAGGGAAATCTTTTAGGAATAATAGTGCTGACATTTTTGGCTTTTTAGATATCATTTTCTGTGCAATAGCTGTTAAGTGTTTAATGATTTTTAAAATAAATATAGTGACAATACATATATATATATAAATATATATATATACACACACAAACACATATTCACTTAATACATATATATATATATAACCAAAGGCTGAATCTTGTATCTGTCAAACAAAAAGAACTACTAAGGCATTTGATGAAGGCACTAAAATTTAGTACTATAGGGCTAAACATTATGTAAGTAAAAAATGTATCACTCTTTTGGCTATGTGCAGTGGTAAATAGGAAAAACTGAATGGTAAGACATCATTAGCAACATATAGTATATGATTACTGAAAACACAGGAAGAAAACATGAACACAATAACAACTTTTGAAATTGTTAGACAAAGAATTAGAGCTCTAATGGTAAAATAAAATGTTTATGTAATACTTCATATGAACTTTGTTTAAACTTTAAGAAAAATTTGCTGCTGCTATCTGATTAAAATATTTTAAAACCTCTAAAAAAGATGTGATGTCTCAAATTTATTTTGTGAAACACAAATAATTACCAACAATTGATAATTAGAGGGTCTCCAAGTTGTAAGTTGATCCATTTGTGAATGAAAATGCAAAAGAGACTATCAGAAAATCGTCTCAAAAGTTCTTTATGGCAAACATATATAAAATAGGAATATGGCAAACATATATAAAATAGGAAAAGAAATAATGAAATAGCAAATTAGGAATAGAAGAAAGTTTTAATTTTGAATTCTATTGCTTCAAATAACAATCAAACCTGCATAATGGTGAAACATTTCCATTAAGTCTTGAAAATTCGTATGGTTAGCCCACACCTATGCCAGTCAAAATTATTTTGAAATTATCTATTTTAAAGAGATAATTAAAATACTTCCATGGTAAGGAATATGAATTGAAGGAAAAATATGTTTAAAGAAAATGATATCTTTAGGAGTTCAGAAAGGTTTCTTTAAATGAATATTTAGAATAAGCAAGTATTTAATTTGCAATAACAAAACAGTAGTAGCAACCTAGTGCACTTTGACACAAATAGATACATAAAAGCTGAAATCAAGACTATTGCATAACAAGAAGAATTTATTATGTAGCTATAATAATCCTGATGCCATGAATGTAATAGCAATATTCAAAATTCATGAAACAGTATTTGACACAGTTGAAAAAAGGAATGAGATAGACATATGAATAATTCCTGATGGAGATATTAAAAATACTCTTTTCTTAGAAAATTATTAATTTAAGTATTGAAATAATATTGAAAATCTATTGTACCCTCAACCACAACTTGTTGGAATTGATATTTACACATTCTACCCAACAACAAAAGTTTATACACTAACTTTGATGAAATAGACCATAGTCTGTTCCATAAAACAAATCTTAGTATTATAAAAAAAAGTCAAATCTTACCATATTTTTCTTCAGTCATGTTGAAATTAACTAGAAATAAGAAACAATAACTGTGTGTATATATTTATGTGCATGTGTGTGCATTTACTGCAAAGAACATTGAAAATATGTATAAGAAAAGTGATTACCTGTCTATGAGAGTATGAGTTTTGAATGTGGGCAAATAATTTCTCATTATCATTTTTGTCACCACTGTTTTCACTAATTAACAAACAAAATTCTTCATAAATATTTTTACACTTTTGACTCATTAATCAAGTTTTTCATGACTTCATTATTTCATACTGAATTAATGAATCATTTTAAATTTTTTTCCCATTATATGACATGCAATATTTCTGATTTCCTTGTTGAGTCACAAAATCTCTTTCAGTGAACAACTTTGAATAAAGATTTACTTTTTCAGGTTTACATTTTATTTTAATTGATTTCCAGTAATAGAATTCTGTAAAAGAGAAGCACTAGATTTAATTTTCAAATATAGGTGTGATAACATTCAACACTTCAATAGTACAGGTTATTTCTATCCAATTTCTGCAAATATGATTAACTATATAATTGCATCTTAGACTTACTTTCTGTTTTTTTTTAATCAAGGTATCATTGGTTACAACACTGAGTGTGTTTCAGAGGAGTATTTTTCTGTTTCTTCTTTCTTCAAGGAATAGTGACTTTGTTATAAATAATTATAAGTCTGCAAATTTTGGGTTTCAGTCTTCTAGTATCTAACAGCATTTACAATTATTTACATTTATTAATTATAGATTTACAACCAGTTTGTTTTCATTAATAATATATAAAATTGAGTAGCAGGTTAAATAAATGATGTTAAAATGCTTCATTTGAAATTTATTTTACCACATTTATGTCAAGTTCCCCCAATTTCTTAGATGTGATATATTAATATAATTACCTTTCTACCTAAATTTATTATGCAATTTATAAGGGTTATGACCACACTAATTCACTTTCTTTTGTGAATATATTTTCTATTTACATAGTAACTTCAAATATTCATATTTTCCAGCAGATGCTGAAGAAATGACCCATATTAATTAGTTAAAATCTTTAAAAATGTTAAATGAAAGGATACAACAAATACAAATTTAAAGTAACCTAAGCTAAAACAGTATAGAGTTTCAAATCTTTTGAATGTTTTCTACCATTCAACGCATAACATTAGATACATTTGCATTTGATATGGATGTGATAACTCATTGATTGGTATTACTGGCTTGCTTCTGTGACGTTACTAATAGGCATGATTCTTGGGAATTGGTGGACAGTCCACTAACCAGAAAGATGGAGGGGTCAGACACAAACCAGGCACGTACTATCTAGGATGAACAGCAAATCGTCTAGAACTGAAAGGGTCAGCAAGAAACATCACAAAGTGCCTGAAGGATTTATCTGGGTTCTAATTGAATTTAGGATTTTATACTATACATAAAAATCAATAAGAATATATGAAACTGCTTTCTTAACAGCGAATGATATTCACCCAGGTCTGTGTTAATACAAAGATCATGTGAAAGGGAGTGCCTAATTATGCAAATATGGTGGGTATCTTATGCAATGTAAGGTAAGATGAAGAAAGATGCTATCTAGAGATGATACAAAGCTAAGCTGAACAGCAGAAGAGTTTCCTGTGT